GGGTACCGCGAAGCACTGGCTGTCGCAGCTGCATCCAGCGGCGGATCAAGGTGGGTTTCCTACCTTAGCTGCATGCACTGGGCAGCCGCAATAAATAATGTCGTAATATCTAATGCTCAAGCCCTATAGTGTGATGAGGGCCGGCCGGAATGTCGGCGCTGTCGCGACAGAAACGTCAAGTGTCCTGGCTATCAGCGCCGAGTGAAATTCTACCACCAGACTCCGGCATCTATTAAAAGTCGCAAGCAGAAAGACAGTCAACATGTCGCTGCGTCGTCGGTTGTCCATGTGCCCACACCTCGGGCGAGCATGGATGGGAAATTAGCACCCGGCCTGGCATCCATGGCAACAGACACCCAGATGAAGGAAGTATTCCATTACTTCATCATGACCTCCTTTCCAGGCCTGTTCTCCGCATGGCGGAACAGAGTCCAGATCAACTGGCTCGACTTCGTTCGACATCACATCGACACCTCGTCGCAGGCCCTGATCTGGAGTATCCGCAGTCTTTGCGTATGGCACCTTGGTCACGCGCATAACGACCAGGAGAAGATCTTGGCCAGTCGGCATCTCTACGGCCGCGGTCTGCAGCACCTGATCTGCTCATTACGCAACCCCTCCGCCGCCACCTCAAACTGGACCCTCATGGCTGCCATCCACCTTGGGATATACGAAATGCTGGATGGGCTCGGCGAGAAATCCTGGCTCATTCATTCCAGGGGAATTGGCAAACTATTCCGGATTCGCGGTCCTGAGGCGCACCGCGATGGATTCAGTCGCACTCTACTGGTGGCGTATCGCCCGTTTATAGTCGCTGACGCGTTCGTCTGCCAGGAGCCGTGCTTTCTGGAGGAACCTGGATGGCGAGCCATTGTCCACGACACTCTGGCATTTGAACGCAGCGCTGGGAAAAGCTCTCAGCTGAGCGAGATCGTCGAGCTCGCTTTCAACGAGATCGTACTCTGTCCGGGGCTATTTGCGCAGACGCGCGAATTTGTTTCACGGACTGGAGTTAAGTCGGAGATACTACGAGAGTCGCTAGTGGCTCAGATCACTCGTTGTCGGGATAGACTCGTCGAACTGGAAAGGCAAATGGGGCCATTGTTCGTCAAATATAATATGATGAAGGTGTTCAAATGGGAGGAAGACGCGAAGAGTCCTATTCCTACCGAGTTTGCCGGAAAGGTAGCCAAATTCGCGTCCCGAGGCACGCAATCTGCCGTTGCAGTACTCAACCAGCTATTGGTTCTGATAGAAGCAGATAAAAACCGTTCGTCCTCGGATGCAAAGTCGGACTGTTCGAGTACTATATGGAAGCTACCAGCAAGAAGCATGGCCTCGTCACAGTTGCAGGAGAAGCAAGTGACTGCATACGGCGCACATGACGATGACTCCCCGGACCGACTGGACCAGCTCGCATTGTCGATGGGCATGCTAGCGATCAGAACATGACTGCCTCCTGCGCATTAGTGCTCAAGACCGGGAGCTGGCTAAGTGTCATTGAAAGCCAGGATACCGAGTCTGATCGAAAGGCCGCCCTGACGTTCGGATCGACTCAAGGAGCACGCACACTCACCGGTACGCTCGGGCTGTGCGCCTCACGTCAACGAAGATCAGTCGTTAGTAGACTTTGGATTCTCTTGCTTAGGCTAGTCGGACTGCGAACCATCGCAGACGCATACAACACATCTTCAATGCACACCAGTCCTGAAAGATGGATTCTAGCACCTGTCAGCGGGTGGTACTCTGACCAGCGCATTCGCTCTCTTCTTGGCAGATATAATCTACCAGCATTACGGCAGATTGCTGCCTGTAACGGATGCAATATTGAGAGGTTATCCGAACAGTCATGATTCGTTTTACCGACTACTGCGAGCGCACCAATGAAGGGGAATGATTTGTAAGGGATCAAATGGAAACGAGGCCTGACCAACAATTTAAAGTATGGTTGGAAGTGTGATTGTTCCCGGTAACCGTTCGATATGAGACAAGATCTGCGGACTCTATAATCGAGGATATTCTACGTCTGGATGGAATCATGGCCGGTTAGGATACCGGTGAACTATTCTTCACTCGCAACGACGATCTATATATTGATCACGGTTGTCGCTCAGTTCTGATAATAAAGTCCATTTTCAGACTAGCTTGTTCATTATTGGCTTGGATACACTGGACGGGAAACACTGAACTAGAAATGTGCTGGTATTAAGAGTTCATTCCTGCTGCCCCTGTAAGCACAGATCTGAGTTGATTTAGCTCAGCCCAGTTTTGGGCTGCCACCTAGCTATCTACCCTTCGAAATCATACCGACAATCACCTACAGACACTGCGAATAATAGGCGTTCTGCACCTGGCACGTATACGGCGACACACAGGTTGTCGGGCCCATCCAGCCCTGACCACCACATTGTCCCCAATGCTGCGCTACGGCAGTCGATGTCCCCGTTGCCGATGTCGTGGTCGTGGTCGTGCTAGTAGCCGTAGCAGTGGCCGTCCCCGTCGCCGTCGACGTCGCTGTATAACTCCCACCCGGGAAATAAGGCTCCAGAATCGACAGATAATACTCATACGCCGTCCCGCTCGGCGGCTCCATACTATAGATATAATCCCCCCACCAGGGCCCTGCAGCCCACCACTGCGCCCCAAGCCAGACATCCGCATTCGCCTCCATATAATCCAGCATCCCGGTCACAGCACTGGCACAAACGCTATTCGTGCCGCCGGCAAACTCCCCCAGAAACGCTTTCTTGGCGTTAGCGATGAGCCAGGACGTCGCGGACTCGATGCGCTCTCGCCCGATTGTGGAGGAGACGCATGTGGCGGAGGTTCCCGAGCCGTCGCTGTCGAGGTACTGGTGCATTTCATAGATGAGTTTGTCGGCGACGGGGTCGGTGAGGGCCTTCAGGTTGTCGTTGACAGATTCCCAGGTCCAGGCGCCGGACCAGGAGTTGCCTTCGACGAAGATGTACTGGGATGTGGCACCTGCGGCGCGGATGGCGTTAATGGCGGCTTGGTTGAGGTCTAAGACGTTGGTTTGGTCTTCGGTGTTGAACTCGTTGTCTGGGTGGGTTGGTTAGCTAGACCCCTTGAAGAAGGGGGATGGAGATGGGCCTTACTGGTGTCGAAGATGACGAGGTCGTTGTCCTTGAATTGCGTGGCGACGGTGGTCCAGAAGGCGGCAAAGTCGCTGGTTGAGGTGATAATGTTGCCGTAGCTGGTTCTCTTAGTGGATTTCTTAATTCGAGATGGAGACTTACTATCGGCCAAAGTTATGCGGGTCGACGATGGCGTGGGCGCCGGTGGACGTGATATAGTTGATGGTCTAGGCTCGTCAATAAACGATCATATCCCTCGAAAGGATGAAAGTACCGAAACGAGATCGGCCATGTACGTCGCATCAGGGGTTCCAGTCATGTTGTTGGGAACGAGACGCTCCATGAGAAATGGCACACGGAAGATATTCATCCCTGCTTTCCTCAAGATGCCAATGGCAGTCGTGTTGGGCCAGATGTAATCGGTGCCCAGCACGCCAGGAATGTTGCCACTTCCAAACTCTGCTCCAGATTCATTGGAGCCAAACCCTGTAGAAGGTCAGTGAATGAGCTGGCCATGAACATGGGTCTCTTACATTGGAAGGCTGAGGTTCTCTTGGTTTTGGACTTGGGGCCCGGTGCAGCAAGAGCGAGGCCCGCTGTGCTGGCAAGGGTGAAGAACTGTGTAAACTTCATTGTGAAACTTGATTTTGGGAATCTGCTTTAGGAGTTGAGTCTTGAACTGGAGAGAGGTATTCATTTATATGAGATGATCGAACCACCTGGACAGATGGTATAGACTCGATTCTAGCAAGTCTTCCTGTCCCGTTTCGGCACGGAGACATAGTCAAGCTTCCTTGTCTATTATTTGCTAGAGCGAGAGATTTTACGATGTAATTTAGTCACATTGTGGTTGCATCCATCACGGATGAATAGAGAGAAACGGAAGGTCAGCAAGGTATCCTTCAAGGCGACGGCCCGACAGCCCGTGGTGCTTCTGGAAATGAGAAGCAAGATATCTCTTCACGTACAAGTCCCATAAAACGTTTCATATAAGTCTTCATCACATTACTCCGCATATGACTACAGAGTGCATGGACTATCGCATCTGTGCGGGGAAATCATCATGGGGTATATGTTGCTGCAGCCGAAATGCCGGCAGGATCAAGCAATTTTGTCTCAGGTTTAAGTTGACTTGGCTCGGCGAACTTGAGCTGGTCCAATCGATGATCCTTTCGCTTGCAGGGTTGATATTATAGTCCGACATCCTCGCATTCCCTCTGGCATGGGGCCGCGTCATCCGTGCAGACAGCAATATCAGCTTAATCTATTCTTCCCCAGATGTACTAGTCTAGGCGAGGAGAGGGATTCAGCGCAGCCACCTGGGAAAATTATGTCCTACTACTCGAATCCCATTCAGGTACCGGAGTTACACCTGCAGATATGCACCCGTGAAGGAGGATTTACACATGATTCTAGCAAATTGAAGAGGCATAACGAGGGACTCCAAGTATTGGCCAACAGATTCCTAGACGACGTCGCCTGTTTTTGCACGAATCATGGCGCCGTCTTGCCAAGTTGCAACCCTTTCTGATCGAGATTAATTAGGCTTTGAAGAATTACCCCAGGATATCGCTCCGGATTCCCGTACCTTGCCTGTTACGACAAGGGCAGGTGTGCAGGGAGTCCTGTTGCATGAAGGGATCGGCAAGCAAGAGGACAAGATGATTTTGTTTGAGGCAGATAGAGAAGTATGGACATCTAGCCGCTTCCATCGCGGTGATAGCATCAGGAGCAGCGATTACGGCCAGTTTTTCGCCGGCTTTGCGGTCCTGTTAGCCGTCTCAGTAGATGCTCTTACCATCCTTGAGCATTCACAGGCAAGGAATGAAGATATAAAAGGGGGTTCAGAGCTTGCACTGACATGTCTATCATCTCACTGTGTCCAAACAGCATCAAACCTTCAAAATGGCCTCCGCAATTTCCTACCGAATCTACAGGAACGCATTGATCCTGTCTGCCTTCCTGTCGTCTGTTACACAGGCGCAGCAGATTGGCACATACACCACTGAGACCCATCCCTCTATGACATGGCAGACCTGCACCAGCGGTGGAAGTTGTACCACCAACCAGGGCTCTGTCGTTATGGACGCGAACTGGCGATGGGTCCACCAGGTTGGCAGCACCACCAACTGCTATACCGGCAATACGTGGGATACTTCCATCTGTGATACAGACGAGACCTGCGCCACTGAATGTGCCGTTGACGGAGCAAACTATGAATCAACCTACGGTGTTACCACCAGCGGCAGCCAGGTCCGCATCAACTTTGTGACGCAGAACTCAAATGGCGCCAATGTTGGCTCCCGTCTTTACATGCTGGCTGATAATACACACTACGAGATGTTTAAGCTACTCAATCAGGAGTTCACCTTTGACGTGGATGTATCCAACCTCCCCTGTGGCTTGAACGGCGCCCTCTACTTTGTGGCCATGGATGCGGATGGCGGCGTCTCCAAATACCCCAACAACAAGGCTGGCGCCCAATACGGGGTGGGATATTGCGATTCCCAATGTCCGCGCGATCTTAAGTTCATCCAAGGCCAGGCCAATGTGGAAGGCTGGACTCCGTCGTCCAACAACAAAAACACTGGATTGGGCAACCATGGATCTTGCTGTGCCGAGCTGGACATCTGGGAATCCAACAGCATCTCTCAGGCTCTGACCCCCCATCCATGTGATACCGCCACCAACACCATGTGCACTGGTGATGCCTGCGGCGGCACGTATAGCAGTGATCGATATGCGGGCACCTGCGACCCAGATGGCTGCGACTTCAATCCCTACCGCATGGGCAATACCACGTTCTACGGTCCCGGCAAGACGATCGATACCAACTCGCCCTTCACCGTCGTGACGCAGTTCATCACGGATGATGGCACTGATACCGGCACCTTGTCTGAAATCCGCCGCTATTACGTCCAGAACGGCGTCACCTACGCCCAGCCTAATTCGGACATCAGCGGTATCACTGGCAACGCCATCAACGCCGACTACTGCACTGCCGAGAACACTGTCTTTGACGGACCGGGTACCTTTGCTAAGCACGGAGGCCTTTCCGCCATGTCCGAGGCCATGTCCACCGGCATGGTACTGGTCATGTCGCTCTGGGACGACTACTACGCGGATATGCTCTGGCTCGATAGCACCTATCCCACCACTGCGTCTTCGTCGACCCCGGGCGCTGTCCGTGGCTCCTGCTCGACCGACTCCGGCGTCCCCGCCACCATTGAATCCGCGAGTCCTAATTCGTATGTGATCTATTCCAACATCAAAGTTGGTCCGATCGGATCAACCTTCAGCGGTGGTTCTGGCTCTGGAAGCTCCGGCTCGACTTCGACGTCTACTAAGACCTCGACCACCTCGACCAAGACCACCACTTCTGCGACAAGCACCTCGACTGCCGTGGCGCAGCACTATGGTCAATGTGGTGGCCAGGGCTGGACAGGCCCGACTAGTTGCGCCTCCCCTTACACCTGCAAGGTGCAGAACGCGTACTATTCTCAGTGTCTGTAGCTGGGATACAGATGGAGGTGCGGATGCTCGTAACTGAACGGACGTGCCGAACGTGGACATTTTTATTTTTTCTCTTTCTTCGTCTTCTGCTTGAAATTATGTATTGATCTTTGACTGTCCTTAATGCTATAGCTTCTCTACAATGCAAATGTTGTTGCGGTCATCGTATTCCCCATATGGCCATTCTGCCGAGGTTCCCCCGTCCTCAGGCACTCGGGCTCGTATCCAAGCTTGGCGTATCTTCAGCTGACAATAACCTCATATTCCCTAAGAATAGACCTCTTCATCCACGCCTGCTCCATGATAAACACCATGGCCAGCGCTACTAATTCCCAGCAACCCAAAATCTTCTACTGCTATGCCAGCAGCTCCCGAAATGGACAAAAGAAAGAGAACACCATCACCTTCGAGGCCAAAGATCCAGCGACCAACGAAACCAAGTATATAATGCAAGGCGTCAAGCCGGACAAAGCACAGATCGCGAGCACAACTCTTCGCCGGGAGTCTCCTCCTCAACACACATGCATTGAGACGTTCATCTCACCCATTACCCCCGGTGACCCAGACATAGATTCAATAACAGGCCGGCCTCTAACCCACCGGTTATCGTCAGGCCCTGTGGTCACCGAAGTGCCCGTAACGGGGTACTGGCGGCCTCGGAAATTCGAGTTCAAGGGGCGAAAGTATGTCTGGTTGAAAGAGGGGCCGCAAACCAGGCTTTATGAATACTCCTCGTCGAGAACGGTGGAGAAGCGAAAATCCACAGTGACAGAGTTTGAGACTGTTAAGCCGGCGCTTGCGAGTGAGACCATGCCGTTCTGGGCTGGGTTCTTTATGAGTCGCTATTTGGAGGTTAGGGTTGCGGAGGGTGTGGAGGAGGCGTTGCTGGAGGTTATTCTGGCGGGGGCGTTGACTGAGATTATGGTTACTTTGCGTGGGCATTGATCGAATCTTACTAATGAGGGTGGAGATGCTTAATGGGTCGTATGCTTCCTATGTTGTTATTGTGGCTGGTATATATGTGGCTACGCTCTGACTTGGTGATCATATCTCATGCAGATTGGTCAAGTACGGGGGTATCGTAATCTTAGTTGAAGTAATGCATAAGCCCCTGCGACTTTAAACCACGAAGTAAACATACTTCTATTCTAGTATGTACAGTGAATTCCTGATTGTCAGATGTTTTCTGACAGAATACCATCTTAACATATGAGATGATCGTCGGCAAATGACAAATGCTTATGCTGTGTCATGCTACCGTGCCATTTGTCTGCTGGGTGTTTTACCCGATTGGGAAAGTGGCCAACCGCCGAGGTTATCCCGACACGATAACAACGCACGAGATGCCTCGCTGCAGGCCAACACTGACTACTCTTCTTCTTCTTTCTCCTCTTTGTCTGGCTCGTTGGGCGGTATTTCGGGCCGTTTCCCCGGTATTCTACTCAGACCTGTCCACATATTATATAAGAAACCAGATCCAGCACTTCCATGTGCCATGGCGACTAGCGCTGTACATTGTAATTGCGCTCCGCGGTCGAAAATGTCCCAACAAACGGATCTCCAATGGCAACAGGTAAGGCCCGGTCGATGGGAGCGTGGTATCGACGAGGTCGAACAGTTCTACACCTCCCTGGCGAAATCGTATCAAGGAAGCGGGCGCAGCTTCTTCGCCATCACCGGCTTCGTCACATTCTCTGTCAAAGCAGACGACGGTGTTTCCCAAGAGAAAACAACAAGAAAAGTCGAAGATGCGCTGCGAAAGGCATGGGCGCATCTGCGTTTCGACCACCCGACCATTGCTTCGTGGGTGGAATGGGACCCCGAGCGCAAGCGCTGCAGAAAATCGTACGAATCTCCGGCCGGGCAAGATGCCCTCCAGTCGTGGCTGGAGACAACCTTTCTCACCGTGTCAGATGCCATTTCCGGTCTGGAATGGTGCAATTCGGATCCTCCGGTGCCGAAGCTACCGACTCTCTTTCTGATATGGTCACCTCCTCGCGCTAAAGGCTTACTCCAGGGTGATCTTGTGCTCCGCGCTCATCACGACATCATCGACGGCGTTGGGACACTGATGTTATTCGATAATTTCTTTACCCACGCGGCTAGAGCCTATGAACGAGGGTCGGACTATCCTCTTCCTTGTTTTGGTATGGAATACGCAAACTTGAGTCCCCCGTTCCGTGTAGCTGCGGCGCTGCAGCCCAGCATGTCTCCCGAGCAGACGGAAAAATTTGAGTCGGTCATGGCATACAACGCGTTTATGAAGCAGGATCGTATAGAGGTTGCCAGTGTTCCATTTAAGAGGGGAGAACACCTCCCTGGAAAACATCAGAGGCTTGCCGTCACTCTTCCCGCTCGGCAAACCACGGCCATCCTCAGCGCTTGCCGCCGGCTAGGTCTGAGTGTGACGCATGCATACCATGCAGCAATTGCGATGGCGGTGCGGGATCTTCAGGAACGTCGCAATAGCGAACGCCTAGTTAGATACATCAATTACAGCCTGATCAACGAGCGCGGACATTGCTTGAGCCCGTACGATACTTCTCTTCATGCAGCGGCGGTCTACCACTCTGTTTCATGCAGGCTGCTCATTGTGGATACCAAAGTTCCGAGTATAACTGACAGCTCGAGTCCGACGGAGTTGAGCAGAGAGGAGTTTTTGAGGGTCGCGCAGACTGTCAGGGAGTTCTACCAGGGGATCCGGAAGGACAAAGATCACATCCAGATGATACCCTCGTGGTACGCCAGCAACACTATTCCCTACCCACACGACAACGCCCCGCCACCAGTCCCAGAACCGAATCAGTCGCCGTCGGTATCAATTTCCAGCTTGGGTGTGGTGGACAATGTGATCAGCCCTTCGCATGGGGCATTCGAGCTGGATACCCCTTGGGTGACCGGTGAGGAATTGGGGACAGGTCTCGGTCTGTTCCTGGGGACTTGGAAGGGGGTGTTGACTCTGAGCGCGGCATATAATGATGCATGGCATGATAAGGCAGAGGTAGCGAGGTTTATAGAGCGATGCAACATTATTGTGGTCCAGGGGCTGGGGTTAAGCAAGCATTATGATTTTGGGCTTGATTCGACAACCACCTAGATTAAACTTGCTACCATCACTATCATCATAGACTTGCAACCATAGACTATATTGTCGGGTCGGTGAATCGAGATAGAGAGGCCGAGAATATATGCTCCTAATGAACCCTGCAGCTGCAGTGGGTTTGGAACTATCACAAACACTCCGATCGCCAAGATAGCGGCAAGATAAATTCTCAAGACGGACTTCATTCCTTGAATAGAATGCTAGGATGTATCCGTGACAGGAATAAACACAGCCGATGATGCTATAGAATATCGGAGGTCGGGGCCGTACTCCCGCTGAGTCACTCGGTCCAATCTCCCTTGATCGGTGTGGTCCTAGATCCATGAATATCTCCCCAATTAGATCCGATACCCTTGACATATTGGCTGGCTGATCGCCATTGGCGTAAGTTATCTTCTCCTACAGCCTTTATTCCTCAGAAACATGTCATATCTCTATGGGACTCGGTACAATATACAAGCCCCATCCGGAATTTCAGCATCTTGTATGTCGACTCCGACGAAGGACTTATTATTAAATGAGTCCTTGATGCTTACAGCACGTTACAGGCTCCCAAGTTTCCCACTCTGAAACCGGCCCCTGCATCGAAATATCCTGATACTATTGATGTCAGGCAAGACGTCAGCAAGGGCAACTACTGGGGCACCGTGTACACCACCGTCTCATAGTGATGCCGACCATCCAGCTGTTCTTCTTCAGTGAACAGTTCTCAGCTAAGTTCCACGTCCTGACAAAGCTAAGCCTTCCCAGGAACTGTCTGCGCTGTATGTGTCTCTCCATGGCTTGTAGCTTCATCGCGACCCTCTGACAGACAGGATACACCTAGGCCATTCGAGATTTCTGACGAGGATAGTCGACATCGCCAGCACCATTAGCCCCTTTGAGTCGAACCCGGACTTCTTCCGCTGGGGGTATGCGCTCCAATCGTACAAGCTATACCAGTCCTCGTGCAGATGTGGAGCGACGGCTGCGAGGACCAGCTGTACCACGCACTGCCCATTATGCTCTCGTAGTAGATTGCCGGGTTCGTGGCCGTGGTGTTTACGAATCGTCACCGGGTGTGTGATGGCGGTGAAGTTGATGGTGGGTGAAGTAATCTGTGACTGTGAGAGCAAGGAGAATAAGAAGTGGATTTGTTGAACGATGAGAAGGATGTGGTGCTTGCCGAGTTTCCGGTCGGGCCAAAGCCCGCTAAATCCGGTTGCCTAATATGGGGTTGATATTATAAAGCATCAAGCCATAACTATACTCGAATCGACTTGGAAATCCTGCGCCCACATTGACCCTCATTTCTGAAATTGTTCCACAGTTGGTGGATTGGCTAGCGAGTCAGCGAGGCCATTATGATAAAATTACCAGTGGTATATTGTAAGCATATGAGGCATTCGGGCATCACCGCAGAAGCCAACTGGGACCCCATATTTGACCTCCAAAAACCCCTGCTCATGCAGGTCCAGACAAAAGCTGGAGAAATACGGGCAGGGCTGCAGACTGTTGGGAATATTCCGAAGTCATTGGTTCTCATGTCAAGTTTTGCCACGAGTTGAGGTTATGAAGAATGCTTGGGGCAGAACGAGTGAGACATGCGTGAGTCTAGGCAGTCAAACGCAGTGAGCAATATACGCATATCCTGAAGAGGAAATGTCCTCGGCACCATCCACCGCGAATTAAGAGGAATGATGGTCTTGATTGGACCATTTACGGACCCTGAAGCCCTGCATAAGGCGAACTTGTTGCATTTCTGGTGGACCGTCCGTTGTCTACTATGTCAAAGCCATTCGTCAGATATAGACGGCTATCGAAAAAAAGATTTCTGAAGAGAAGGTGATTATGAGTGAGAGTCGGAGACTGTCCCTGGAACTACTCCGTATTGCATTCAATGATCCGAGGACTCCGTTCTCCAGGGCTTTCGGCTCAAATCATCCCGATGACAAGGGACCAATTACAATCTGGAGAGAGAGCTAAGACAGCTAAGAGAGCTAAGAGATATAGGGCTATTGCCTCTCTTGCAGTATTATTGGGGATTCAGGTGGGCTACGGAGTAACTGCCGCAAACTGGAACAAGCGGCAGTAAGGCATCAAGATAACCCACCTATCATCCACTTCCCCCTGAGCTTCATGGAACGTGTGCTGTGCAAGGTTGGCTGGATTCCAGCCGAATACGGACACGGATACGTAGCCACAATTAATTGTTTTAATGAACATGGTTGATTAGCCTGTCTACTTGCAACACTTGTGGGCGCCCAAAGCAGAAAGTAGCCAGTGTTGGCGCTAAAAGGATATTCTCTATACTCAATCGGTCGAGGCACTAAGACATTCTCAAACGTCTCGCAAGTCAAGAACAGTCCCTAATATGCTTAGAGGTGGGCAAGCACTGCTAAGTGTCTCGGCAGGTTTCCGGATTCGTGGAGAATCTCCGACGAAGCTTTTGGTCCAAGTGGAGAGATCCAAAGACTCTATTCCACTTTGGTGCCAGCGCGCTATTACTAGAGGGATCTCACGACTCAGTTCCCAACCAGGTGGGGTTCCCGCACAGGTCAGACGGCAGTTTAGGTTGTTCCTGCAGTGTCGTACACTTTCTCTTCGGTTTGACCCGTTTTATCGGAGTTCCTTCGGAAGCCTCTGGATGCCCCTGGACGCCCCTGTCATCTGCTATATCCGTACACCAGACCAACACCATATATAAAGCTTCAGACGTCCTCACCATGGGTTCATTTTTGTCCTCATCCGCGCTCCTTTCGTCTTTCGTTTTCTATTGTAACTACCATTTTTAGGGTATCTGTTGACCAGAACCTTGTCCGATCTTTCTAAACTTACTCCAACCACTCGACTTCCGCTCTCTCACCATGCATTTCTTCCAATCCTCCCTCGTGGCCGCGACCATGGGCGCTGCGCTGGTCGCTGCTGCTCCTGCTGCCGATCTCGAGACTCGTGGCTCTTGCACCTTCACTTCTGCGGCTGCGGCTAAGTCTGGCAAGGCCTCCTGCTCCACCATCACCCTGAGCAACATTGCTGTGCCCGCCGGTGAGACTCTGGACCTCACTGGCCTGAAGACCGGTGCCACTGTAAGTCCCTCATAATTGGTATGGTAAATGCCGTTGACTGACGTGTTGGCAAAGGTCATCTTCGATGGTACCACCACCTTCGGCTACAAGGAATGGGCCGGCCCCCTGATTTCCATGTCCGGAACCAGCATTACCGTCAAGCAGAACACTGGTGCTAAGATTGACTGTGATGGTGCTCGTTGGTGGGACGGCAAGGGAGGCAACGGCGGCAAGAAGAAGCCCAAGTTCTTCGCTGCTCACAAGCTGAACAAGTCCAACATCACCGGTCTGAAGGTCTACAACACCCCCGTTCAGGGCTTCAGCATCCAGGCCGACAACCTCACCATCAAGGACGTCCTGATCGATAACTCCGCTGGTACCAAGCTCGGCCACAACACCGATGCTTTCGATGTCGGCTCCAGCACCTACATCACCATTGACGGTGCCACCGTCTACAACCAGGACGACTGCCTGGCCATCAACTCCGGTGAGCACATCACCTTCACCAACGGCTATTGCAATGGTGGCCACGGTCTCTCCATCGGCTCCGTCGGCGGCCGCTCGGACAACACCGTCAACGATGTCACCATCTCCAACTCCCAGGTCATCAACTCCCAGAACGGCGCTCGTATCAAGACCGTCTATGGCGCGACTGGCTCCGTCACCGGCGTCAAGTTCCAGGACATCACCCTCAAGGGTATCACCAAGTACGGTATTATCGTCGAGCAGGACTACGAGAACGGCAGCCCCACCGGCAAGCCCACCAACGGCGTCAAGGTCTCCGATATCACCTTCCAGAAGGTCACCGGTACCGTGACCAGCTCCGCCACTGATATTTACATCCTCTGTGGATCTGGCAGCTGCACTAACTGGACCTGGTCTGGCAATAGCGTCACTGGCGGCAAGAAGAGCACCAGCTGCAAGAACGTTCCTGCTGGCGCCTCTTGCTAGTTGTCTCTAGAAGCCTATGGCCGGCGGGCTTCTGTCAAGGGAGTGTTCTGTTCGTGTCTTCGCTCTGTTAATCCTTGTATTTTAAGTACATAATTCTATAATAAAAGACATATTCAAGTCTACCTCCCGAAGTTCCGCAATTAGTCGGTAGGCTCTCTATCTGCCAAGCTCTTTCGGTATTGATCGGTCGCGTTTGACACAAGACTGACGGCAGTGGTGCATCCAAGACCTTTGCGTCGGGTTTGATGCCGCAATGCGACCTATCTTCCCCTAAACCTCACTGTAAGCGATCCTCGCATATTCACAATCCCTTGCATACTTCCGCGGAGCTAATTTGGATGGGTGTCAATCATTTTCTGCGAGGAATGTCTGCCCAGTTTGCCCTCATACTTACGGTCTGGAATGCAAGGGGCGTTCCCATCGAGCAGTGATCGACCGAGTGTTTTGATTACGATGCCGCTTAAATACACCCTGCTCATTCGCGACTCTTTTCCGTCCGCTTCAATCGCCAGCACTCTCCAGCCATCATGCATCTCACTCACAGCCTCGCCCTCGTGTCCCTCGCGACATCCACCCTGGCATTCCAGATCCCCAACTCCAACCGACCCTCCACCAAGCACACACCCAGCAGCGACGACAAAACCACCAACCCAACCGTCCGCGACATCTTCCAATTCCCAGACAACGGCTCCTTCGTCGACAACGTCGTCGTCCGGCCCGACGGCACCCTCCTCCTCACCCGGATCGACGTCCCAGAAGTCTGGTCCGTGGACCCCAGAACCGGCTCCGGGACCCTAGCCTACTCGTTCGCCCAGCAAAGCAGCGACATCACGGCTGTCTTCGGCATCACCGAAGTCGAGCATGACGTCTTCGCCGTCGTAGCGGGCAAATTCACGCTCGAGGGCTTCGCCGCCGAGCAGGGCTCCTTCGGCGTCTGGAGACTCGACTTCAACGACGACGGCAACTACGACGTGCTTGAGGTGCCAAATTCGTGGAGTGGTGAGGAGTTTAGCCTCAGTAAGAACACCCCCAGCGCAGTCAGCAAGATCGTCGACATTCCCGAGGCCAAGGCGCTGGGTGCGAGTACGCTGTACAAGCCCAACGATGAGGCGCGGTACCTGCTTATTTCGGATAGTCCCGACGGGATGATCTGGCGGGTGGACGTGGATTCGGGGGAGTATGCGGCTGCGCTGCAGGATGAGTCGATGCTGCCTGCGCCGAATGCGCCGCCAATGGGTGTCAATGGGATCCATGTGGTCGGGGAGTATCTGCACTATGTGAGCGTGACGAAGAAGGAGTATCGGCGGGTGAAGATCGACGAGATGGCGAATGCGGCCGGGCCGTTCGAGTTGATTACGACGGAGATCAACCCAGATAGTTTTGATATTACGGACGATGGGACGGCGTACTTCGCGACGAATCCGGAGAATACGATTGTCAAGTATACGCCTGAGGGCAAGATTGAGAATTTCGCTGGTGGCAAGAATTCGACTGTGCTGCCTGGGCCAACATGCTGTGCGTTGGATAGAAAGGGACAGACGTTGTATGTTGGCACGAACGGGGGCTTGATGGCACCGGTTGGCGGGACTTACAAGGAGCCTGGAAAAATTGCCGCTATTTCGCTTTGAAAACTGGACTGGATGAGTATTTGAGAGGCCCTTTGCTGAGGAAGAGCTTTATTTTTTTAATGTAGTCTCTAATAGCAGAGTAACAATGACAACCTTCATAGTTGTTCTCTATCGCGCAGTTGGCTTGACTTGATTACGGAGGATCAACGCATGTCTGTAGATTGATTGGTGAACGAGATCAAGTTTCCAGGAAGATGCACAGTGGACAGCAAAATCTGCTTACATACATGGGCTAAGACGTTTCAATGTACTCGCTGTCCCACAAAGCAAGGGCAGGAAAATTATAACACTCAGACGACAGCATTCAGCCACACCGGCCAGGTAGTCTTCCTCATCAACATGAATCTCCTCGCACATTTCCTTCGCACCGTACTTGCGAAGAACATCGGCCACTTCAACGTATCCCTTTGCAATAGCCAATAATAGAAGAGACGGAAAAGATCCTATGCGCATGTTGGGTTCCGCCCCGTGACGGAGGAGAAGCTCAGCGACTTCCAAGTAACCAGCAGCCACAGCGAGTGAGAGAGGCGTCTCGCCAGTGTCGCTCTTCTCATTCGCATCGAAGCCCCGCTCGAGCAACTTGGCGATCAACATGCACTTCATCGACCGAGTGGCGTTGACGAGAGTAACGTGTTGTCTTCCTCGCTGGAAGGCCGTGGATCGGCTCCATAGTCCATGAGAAGCTCCGCCTTGTCGTAATACAGCTGGCTCATTGCGCATGCCAGAGGTGGCAGTAGCCAGCCCTTACGAGATTGTCTCCGAATAGACGGATGGCCCTGCTGCAGGGCTTCTGAGTATGCATTGGGGTCAAGACCTTGCTCAAGAAGTCGCCTGAGCACCTCGATGCTCAAGTTCCTGACCACCCAAAACAGCAGACTCGGATCGTCGCCAGGCCGTATTTGATCGAGGCTTTGCACAGGAAACGAAGAAGTCGTGATCTTCTGGAACTTTAGCCCCGTGGGCAATCAAGTACGACGCGATGTCCAAGTAGCCACATTCAACTGCTATTTTGATGGGCGTCATTTCTCGAATCGACGGCACGTTTAAATCGACTCCGTGCCCCACCAGGAGCTTAACTCCTCCATGTGACCGCGTATTACCATAAGATGAAGGTAGGATAATACTTCGCCTGGGGGATCACAGGATGCTGTCTGATGGACATCAGCGCCTTTTTGGATAAAAAACGCCATACATTCCGCGTCACCCGACAAAGCAGCATGAAGAAGTGGTCTGGGTCCAATTTCTTCCCCAACATGTATGTTCTCACCTTTATCAACAAGTAGTTTGATCAACTCGAGCTTTCCCAGACCAGCGACATAGTTCAGTGGCGTTATTGATTTGAAACAGTGCTCTTCAATATCGGCACCATACTCGTCGAGTAGAAGCTCTATCACTCGTGTTTGTTCGCTTTCCAGTGCGTAACAAAGAGGCGTGTGGAGTTGATCGTCACCAACTAGTATGACTGAGCCAATTTTCGCGTTAATGTCGCCTGGCTTCGCAGCCAGTGATCGTCTAACGACTTTTACAAGTCCATGGCAAGCGCCAAAGGCAAGAGCGGTGTGATGCTCGAATTCTGCATTGTATCGGTGCATGTATAGGTTTATGATGCTGCAGATAAATCGGTTTGTGCGAGAGAATGCATTAAGCCAAGCTTAATTCTGGAGTTGCTTCATTATCTCTAGCAAAAGCTCATTAGGTAAGGAAAGTAGGCTCATGATCAAAGGTCTTAAGCGAAACCTCAGGTCAGGAATGATTACATTAAGAAAAGAGGAAAGACATGCAGGTGTGAGATGGGGGAGCTAGGACCTTCAAGTGTTGTGGTAAACAAATAAGTATCCTCAGAAACTCCTGAAGCGAGAGTCATTCGCTTGTGTTAGTCAAATTTCATCCACTTGGGACGCTTCTGTAGATTTTATATACAGTTACTTCTGGACAGACCTCTGCTCACCCTAAGCAGAAATGAGTACTCTTCTCTCATTCAGACAGAGCAAGGAGATTTTTCACTCTGTAGACATTTAAAGAAAGAACACCCTGCACTGTTATATTGCCTTGAAAAGTCATGGCTTTCCTAGAAGGTATACCGACGAAGAGTCACGTGACTTGAAAGGGGACATGCCTGAGGCTCCCACATGGTGTGGAGACAAATTGACACAAACTGGGGAAAACATGTGCCATCTCCGCCGGATCCTGTTTCCTCTCCAATCTCGGTCCGCTACCGGCATCGGTCTTCCTCATGTGCAGATTCGAATCATGTCTGAACATCCATCAGAACAGCTCAGTGCAGAATATCGTTTAGATTCTGGTGCATACTCGAATTACACTCGCTCACCATTGCCGACGCGAGTCAGCAGTGCGTGCGAGAGATGCCGCCGCCATAAAACTCGGGTATGGATTTCCATCAGAACGTTCCAATGCTGCCCTCTGAAAAATTACTTACGTTTTACTACCTCTTGGTCTGCAGTGTGATCCCTTCCGACCTTGCTCGCTCTGTGCACGAGCAAAAGTTGATTGCCAACCGCTTCCTGCTAGTCGGACCCGGAGGGATAGCACTCGGAAGTAAGTCACTAGGGACGAGATTATTACTAAAACTTCTCATTCTTCTTAATTTCCCTAACGAGTAGCAGATCAAAGAGAAGTCTGCGAAGCCATCAGCGACAAAGAACCACATCAACAGCCAGTGCTGTCCAACCTTCAGAGAGCTTCGATGACCCCAATAACGAGGCTCCACCAGTGGAAGGTACTAACAATGACCGCTGTATATCCACAGACGGCCGTGTTACACATCCGGCAATTGACTACGGTGAAGCGGAATCTACCATGGGAATTGTTCAAAAAATCTGTGAACTTGGTAGACAGCATATCGATGAGCAAGCCACTTCTGCCATTCCAGGCTACCGAGCGAGCACCAGCGTTGCCAAGCGGCGCACCGCAGCTGTCGGACAACGGCTTCCCATTTCGTCAATACTAGGTCAGAATTTACCGCCGACGGAGATAATGTTTTCGTTGCTCGAGGACTACTTTGACGCAGTCCATTGGTTTTCTCTTGCTATTTATGAACCTACCTTTCGCAGGAAACTCTTGTCCGTAACCGATGGGCTTGCCTATCCCTCTCAGAAATCATTCCTGTTGCTCCTTGCAGTCGTACTGGGCATGGGAGCGTGGTATCGGTCCCAAAGGAGGACGACTGACTTGACCGACAATGGCGATTGGCAACAATTGAGTGCGAACCTCTTAAAGATCGTCGAATCGCACATTGTTGAGTTGATGGACGAACCTTCTGTTACAGCAGCCCAGATTTGTATCCTTTTTGGATCCTACCACGTCTATCACGGGCGTCCCAATCTCTCCTTCTCATTACTTGGTGCGACTATCAAGATATCCCAAGCGGCAGGGTTGCACCGTGAACCCTCGAGGGGCAACTTTGAGGATATTGAAGAAAGGAAACGCGTGTGGTGGACCATATACACTTGGGATCGTTTTGCGTCGATCACCTATGGCCGACCACTAGGAATCAACGACAAGGACTGCAATCTCAGCATGCCAGCGAATATTTTCGAAAATCCCTACTTTGTTACCCCGAGATCAGAGCAGGGATATACCGTCTGTTACTCTACATATCAAAGGGAATTGAACCGTCTCTACCTCATGGCATCCGCTGCCCTGGAGGCAATTTTCGGCTCGCGGACGTCAGGCTCGTCTGAGGAACTGGCCGGGGACGCATACGTGGCGCTCGTCAAAGAAGCAACTCAAAACCTTCGGAGATGGCGGGATGAATTACCCGAGCATCTAGTCTTGGACCTTGAGAGTGACTTCCAGCCTGACAGCGGACTCAGCGCAAGGGCACATGCCTTACAATCGTTGTCTTTGCAGTTGACCTACGATAATATCCTCATTGTCCTCCACCGGCCTTTGTTGGCAAGGCAAGTTGATCACCTATCGACGACGCATCACCCTTCTAGCAGAAGCGGCGGAATAGATTCCCCAGGCTGCCATCCGAGCGGGCCATCGCCAGCACAAAGGGACCCAGCATTCGATGCTGTATCGCCGAATGCATCCGTCACAAGTCCTGTACACTGGTGGAATGCGGCCTTGAGAACATCCCGAGTGACTGAGTTACCGGTCCTGGCTCAGCTTGCGACGGATAGTCATCTGGTTGCCTTCTTGGCCATAAATCTATTCAACGCGGCAATTGTGCTGGCGGTCATGGCTCTGTCAGATCCCCTCTCTGACACAGCACAGGTCGTGAAGCGGACAATCACTCGTATCTTGCGTCTGCAGGATCTTCTTGGAAAGCGCTCTGCATTATCGAAGCAAAGTACAACAGTTTTGAAGAATGTCGTCACATTGCTTCTCCGTCGCGAATCAGAGGCTATTCTAGCTCCAATAACGGCAAACAATCAGCAAGAAGGCCACCAGTCTTTAGTAGACTATCCACCGATGTCAGTGGAAGATACGCTTCGACTCCCCCTCGACGCCACACTTGAATTTTTTGATGCCCCCGCGCGACGGCCGGCATGGCCAGACCAGAGCAGGGCTCAGCGTCTGAACGAAAGTTTAGCGTCAGTTCAATTCGGTGAGTGACTTTGCGTCTTTCTAAATAGCTCCATGACTGGAAATGCTGATCTGTGGCTTTCTCTCCAGTCGTTCCCTCCGGCAATGATGAGCATTCCTTCAACTGGTGTGCGAGTGGAGACATTCACCAAGCTCGCGGTACCATTCAGGACACGTTACAACCAGACCCTGCATGGCAGCAGTCTGCCTCCAACGAATGGCGGGACTCCAGCGTTTCTCTTGGGACAATGGAAACCGCCAGCTACGGGACAGGTGAACGAGGGTTATACTGGCTATGGGATATGTCATGGAATGGAACAGAGTCATAGGCTTTAAATATTGGCCTGACGTATGACCAGTTTCTAGGAAATGGAAGGAAATGTCACTTGAGTTACAGCAACGGGCGCAGATTCACTCTATGTCAATGTGGCTTTCGCTACATGCTCGTCTACACCAGGGCCGTAGATGACACTCTTGATCCCTGCTCGGCTGACCACATTCTTAAACGCGTCTTCTGCGTGAGTGAACGGAAACTCGTGGGTGACAAGACCATCTAGTCTAATCCGACGAGAATGGAGCAGCTCGATTGCCGTCCGGTAATCCCCAGGACCATATCGAAAACTCCCTTTGAAGACGATCTCCTTGTCACAGATCTGACCGACCGGAAGGGAGGGATTCGGCTTCCCCAAACCCACCTGGACGAACGTTCCTCCAGACGCGAGGACATGAATACCGCAGTTCATGCAAGGCTCCGCCCCGGTGGCATCCAGCACAACGTCGGCGCCTATCTCCAGTTCCACCGTATTTAGAATGTCCTCTGCATTCTGTTCCGGGGACTCGGGTGTCATCTGGTATGTGTGCGTGGCCCCGTATTTCAGCGCCGAGCTGAGTCTGCTGGGCACGACGTCCACGACGAGCACAGTTGACGCCCCAAAGGCACGCGCTACGGCCACACAGAGCAGGCCGACCGGACCCGCTCCGAAGACGACGACTGCTTTTCCCTGCATATCTCCTGCGAGTCGACAACTGTGCACAGCCACACTGAGCGGCTCAATCAGGGTGCCATCCCTTAGCGAGACATGTGCGGGCAGTTTATAGCAGCACTCTGCTGGAACGAGATAATAAGTAGCAAGTGTCCCGTCATGGGGAGGGGTGGCGGCGAAGCGCAT